AGAAGAGGCCTTAAGCAATGAGACTTTCTTATTTTTGTGGGTGTGACTGCATCTGGCTATCTGCCTGTTACCACACCTTCTGGCCTTCTGCAGAGACCCTGTCTTGCTCAGAGCTATCTCTAGTACCCATTGCCCTTGCTCTTGTATTAGATGGAGCAGATACCAAGGCCAATTTGCTCACAGTGGCATCTCTCCTACTCTATAGAGGTCCTATTTCTGGATGCAGGTCTTTGACTCCCAGGACCTTTGGGTGCCCTCGTTCTGACCACAGTTCTCCTAGGTGGAAGAAACTGCCTGTTCATGGACAGATTGAGACTAACTTGAGCTCCTCACTTGGGACAATGCTTCCACAAAGCCAGTACAAACATTGGAGAGCGTGGAGGCAAGAGTGTCTCAGAGTCCAGAGGCAGCCAAGGAGACCACCAGAGGAGGCTGGGCCTAAGAGCTTGAGGCTGAGAAGCCTGCAGGCCATGGAGCCTTTCATTTCAATAGCATTCATGAAACGCTGACCCGAGAGCTCAGAGTTGACACTAAGATCTTTTGCTTTACGTCTGCCATGGGCCAGGGATAGGTCTGTGCTGAGCTCATGAGGTCCTGAGTGGAAACAGCTTGACTCCCTGATTGTAGAACATGCTGGCAGCATCCTGGAGAGCCACAACTCTGTCCTTTGCCCCTCTTCCATCCTAGATCTAACGGCACCATCCAGAAAAGGACTCCACCACCCCTTTCCCACTTGAGAGCCTCTGGCCTTTTCTCTGTGCTGCATGCAACTGAAGCACTTTGCCTCAGCAGCCTGACCCCACCCACTGGCTGCCCCTGTGTTCCCGGGTTCCTGGTGAACTTCAGGTGGGTCGGTGTGGTTTGACTCAGCTTGATGCTTTCTACTGTTGTCCTCCCGTGTCCCACTACACTTACACACATCCTCGGGGACTGGTGGCCTCTCTGGCTTCCTTCTGCTTCTTGAATAGCTGTCCTTCTTCAGATCATTCTCTTGCCCGTAGGCAGCTGTGATCTAGACTCTGGGCTCCAGGACCCACAGCCTGGCTAGACCCCATGTCTATAATCAAATAGCTGGGGCCCAAATCCTCCATCCCACTTCTGGGCCACAGTTGAGAGTGATGGAAAAGCTAATTCAGGAGTCAGTGGCTAAACAGAGTCTCTGTTGCAATAGACGAGAGCATTCGTCTCAGCATTGCAAGGAGCTATGGAAGGTCCTTTTGCTTCTCTTGACTAGTTGAAGTGTTGATCTAGCTTCATGGCAGTACCTTGCCCACAGTGGCCAGGTCATCTGGAGAGTGGCCAACAAGGGGGTATGAAGAATAGGATACTCTAACTTATAGTGGGAATAAGTAGGGTGAACCTTCCTTGAGGACCTTGTCGCACCCACCGTGTGCCTCAACAGCAGAGATTTAATAGCTCAGGGTTTGAAGGCGAGAACTCAGAGATCAGGGTGGGTTGTAGGTAAGTCTGTACTGGTTTATTGGTGACTGTGATTTTACATGATAGAGACAGAGAGAAGAAGAAAGAGTTGGAGACAGAGAGGGGAAAAGAGGGAAGGAGAGAGAATGAGAGAGAAGGCATTGATATTCAATGTCTCTTTGTTTCTCGATATAAGAACACAACCCCATGAGATATGTTCCCAAACCTCCTCTCACTTCAATTGTTCCCAAAGACCTGATAGCCAAATGCCACAGGGAACTGCGTTAAATTAGAGTTTCATTAAAGGCTGTGTGGGGTGCGGTGGTGGTGGTGGTGGTGGTGGTGGTGGTGTGTGTACCTTAGCCTGCAGTATTGTTCCAAGTTTACAAAATGATAGTTGTGAGAACCAGTAATGCCCAGCCTCTGTGAGGTGACTGAGAATTAGGAGAACTGGGGTTAGCATGACGCACGGAAGAGGATTCATTTCACTCTCTGGTTCAGGCCTTGGGAAATCCCCGCAGGAGAACTGAGGGGTAGGGAAGAGAGGGAAAGAAATCCATAAGGCAGTAAGAGTGCCTGATCCCGACCCTCAGAGGTGCATATGGTGAGGAAATGAGGAGGAAGCAGAGGCCCACCCCTTCCCCAACAGCCCTGACTCAGCTCTCCCAGCAAAGAAGAGCTGCCACTTAGCAAGCAATGTGTGTCTGAGGACACAGTTATCCCTGTGTATGAGCAGGGATCTTGTTCCAGCACTCAGATGGTTTCAAAATCCAGAGATGTTGAAATACCTTATACAATTTACAATTTGCCCCCCCCCCCACCACCACATACATCTTATACTTTAAGCCATCTCTAGATTCCTTATAACCCTGAAGGAGTGGAGAAGCTCTGGGGAGAGTTGTTAAACTTCACTGTTGAGGGGACAATAACAAGGAGAGGGCTGCAGGGCACTGGGGAGGTGGGGAGTGGGTAAGAGCACTGCTGGGCAAACATAAAGACCTGAGTTTGCACTTTGGCATTTGTATGAAAATCTTGTGTTCCCAACACCAGAACAGCAGGGATTAGGGACGGGAGGCTGGCTGGGGCTTGCTGGCCACCAAACTAGCTCAGGAGAGACCCCATGTCAACACAAATAAGGCCGAGATTGGCACAGGAAGACACTGGAGATCCTCCCATGACTTCTGCGAGCAACCTGTACACACAGACACCACACGTGTGCTGGATAGTTTTATGTCAATTTGACCCAAACTAGAGTTATTTGAGAGGAGAGAACCTCAATTAAGAATAGGCCTCCATAAAACTGGCTGCAGTATTGCTTAGATGTTGATATGGAGGGGACTGCCCAGATAGGGCTACTCCTGGGCTGGTGGTCCTGGGGTCGATAAGAAAGCAGGCTGAGTAAGCCATGGGGAGCAAGTCAATAAGCAGCACCCCTCCATGGCCTCTGCATCGGCTCCTGCCTCCAAGTTCTTGTCCTGTTTGTGCTTCTATCCTGAATTCCTTTGATGGCGAACTGTGATACAGAAATGTAAGCCAAAGAAACCCTTCCCTTCTCAACTTGCTTTGGTCATGACTTGGTCATCACAACAATAACAACCCTGACTAAGACAACACATAAGACACACTACACACATACACACACATACATCATAATATACAAACTATACATCACACACATACACGCCACATACATCACATACCTTCTTCTTCCACTACTACCACATCACAGACAGCATATACATATACACTCACACCACACAGAGAAAAAGGTCTGTGCATACTCACTGTAGACGCATTAAATAGCTATTTTGATATATGAAGACTTATGTAGATAGATGTTTTTTTCTTTACTATATGTGGTTAGTTGGACACAGGGATGCAGCCCTCAGGGACAGAGGGATGGCTGGGTAATTCTTTCTTGTTTCTCCAGAACAAATAAGTAAATACATACTCAGAAATCTTTTAGTCCCTGAGGTCTTAGTCTAGCAAACACAGGAGCAGCCACTGTATGCAGGAGGTACCAGGAAAGTCCTGGAGAAATGTCTGCAGATTCTTAGTGCTTTTGGATAATGTACGTTACAGTGACTTGGGCCTGAGATCTGACATAGGTGGTATACAGGGGGCAAAGTCAGGGGGCTAGGCATAGTTCCTTAGGGACCAATGGCAGCATACTGCCACCCTGTGGCTGCTTGTCCATTGTGCATCTGAAACCATAAGCTTGTCTAAGGGAACTGGATCACTGATGGAGTGTGTGTGTGTGTGTGTGTGTGTGTGTGTGTGTGTGTGTTCTAGTGTCTGTGGTGTAGTATAAGTATGTGTGATGTGGTATATGTATATAGTGTGGTGTGTGTGAAATAGCGTGTATGTTTTGCTTGTATGTGTGTTGTGTCATGATGTGTGTGGTGCATTGTGTGTTGGGTGCACTATATATGTGTAGTGTGTGTTGTGTTATGATGTGTCTATTTATGGTATGTGTGAGGTGTGTTATGTGTTATGGTTTGTGTTGTGTCTCTGTGCACTGCGTATACATAGTATGTTGTATGTATTATCTCTGTGGTGTGCGTATTCATGTATTATATATATAGTATATATATACAATATATACACTGATATATATAGTATATATATATACTATATATATATCAGTGTATAGTTTGTATGTATAATATTGTGTATGTTGTCTCTGTGTTGATAATAAATGAGTATGACCCCTGGGGAAGAAATAGAAGGAATAGAAGAAAAGGAATGCTACAGATGGAGAAGATGCATGGTGAATCCTGGGAAGACAGAAGGCAGGGATGGATCCACAGGGAGCAGGGGTAAATTCAGACAGGGCTGGAGTCTGGCCACCCTTCCTAATGTGGCTCAAGTTCCTCTGTTCAGTGCAGTAGTCCCCAGACTGCCTGGCTCTAGGAACCACATGGAGACATCCATATGTGTTGTCTTGGAACTGACTTCAGAAAGTGCCCAGTGAATTCAGGGGCTGCAGGATGGACCAGGAAGCCAGGCTCACCTCTGCCTTCTCCTGTGGTGAGCTGTGCTGGAAGAGCAGCCAGGGCCAGTGAGGAGGCATATAGACCAGAAAGTGCCATGCCTATCATGAGGGAGGGAGATCACAGGCGCACACCAATCCCATGTGGCGAAGTTCCAATTCAAGGCTTCTGAAAATATTTCTTTAAAAAGCCAAGTGAGAGTGATTGTATCTGTTTCAGACCTGACTGGTGCTCCTCCCAGGGTGTGGCTGTCTCCGCTATGCACACTGGGCCCCAGCCAAGCAAACATCAGAGCCACTGGCCTGTGTCCACCTCGGCCTCCTGGGACATTTTGTTTCCTATCCGATCTCCCTCTGAAGATTGGCAAGGTCATGTCCGTCTGATGCACGACAGTAGCGGTTCAGGGAGGTTAAGTAACTCAGCACAATCACATAGCAGGGAACGGCTCCACTCTGTCTCCTGAACGGTGAGGACAACATCCCAGAGGACCCTAGGAGATGACTCATGCAATCATTTCAGGACTGAATGCCCCCTCTTTCCCACTCCCCGACTAGAAACATCACCAAAGCAGAACTCTGAAAACACCCAAACAATAAAATAGCTCTTTTTATTCACTTTGATTCGGATCATTGGAAATATTCAACAATAAATAAAACAAAGCAGGGGCTGAAGAAGGCCAACCAACTAACATCATTGGAAATGCATTCAGACCAATCAGGAGGGTTACAAGACAGTGCCGGCCACAAGAAAGCAAAGTTTAAACGAATGACGCTGGAACTCGCGCCGGAAGCAAGGGAGGAGAAGACCTTGGGAGGAAAAGTGCTTGGGTGACTTTGGCTCTGAAGGGGATCTGGGAAAAGTGATTGTGCAGGGAGTCTGGGGGTGCAGGAGGGACCCATAGCCACCCACAGGAGTGAACTGAGTGAGGTCCAGATCAGGCTCTGGGGAAAGGGCTAAAGTGATTGTGCAGGGGGTCTGGGGGTGCAGGAGGGACCCACAGCCACCTAGACGGGCAAGCAAGATCCAGACAAGGCTCTGGAGAAAGGATTAAAGCTGGTGTCATGGCACAGACCCTGGGCAGGAGGAGCCAAGGTAAAAGCTCAGTGAGAAGAGGTGGGGGTGTGAAGACGGGGGTCCTCGCTTAGTGGAAGGAGAGCAGCAAGCGGAAGCAGGCTCAAGGCTGGGCCTGGCTGAGGCTACAGGCTGTTTGGGTAATGACGCAGTCACTACGCTCTGTGGCTGAAGGCGTGAGCCGCTGCTCTGTCGGTCTCTGCCTTCTCTCCTCACCCTCCCTGTTTCTTCTAGGTTGTGGGTAGTACCTGGGGCACAGGTGAAAGTGACGAGAGGGAAGCTGATGGTATCTCAAAAGTGGCTAGCCAGGCTATGATGGCTGAGCAGTCAAGGCCAACTCTTTCTCACCCCAGGTGACTATGGTGGAACCCGTGGCTTTAGCTGTCAGCTCCTTGAGGGCATGAACTTGTCACCTTATTCCCTGGTGGGTAGTAGGCACCCAGGGCTTCTCCCGCCCTGTATGTTGGGGCTACTTTGAAGGGCACAGGTAAAAACCAATCTCTGGGTTCTCATTTATCCACTGTGCTCCTTCCCACATTTGACAGGGAGGGCCTGTTCCCAGAAGGTGTGATGGGCCTATAGCAGCCCCATGTGGCCGCAGCGGAGACTGCAGCACCATCTGCACCCTACAGCAACTCCAGACCTTCAGGCCCTACCTAGCTGCTGGTCTCCTTTACTCTTTCTGTACTTTCTTGGGTCTGTTCCACTAGCCCAATCCACATGGTTTAATGGCTGTTGTCTGAGGACCCAAAGCCAACCTAAGAAGGTATCAATGTAAGGATTTTCCTCACTGGCTTGTCTCTTCTGGGAATTAGAGACTACAGATTTGCTTCTCTCTCCTTTAAGAGCAGCACAGGAAACACCAGTCTCCTGGTTCACTGCAGGCTCATAGTCTAGGGTGCTGCTGAGACTCCCCTGGTTTCCCCTGGACTTAGCAGCTTCCTGATCAGCTCTGAGCACTGCAGCCCAGGACCAGCGCTTCTGGTCAGCAGCCAGACCAGTCTCTTTGGGAAAGGCCCTTCCTGTTCTCAGCCACTCACACCCCCAAGGAAAGCTCCAATTACCTTAAATGAATTGGTGGAGTTAATTCTGGCCTCAGCGGGCTGTATTTGATTCAGTTAAGAGCCCACCGCTAAGCCAGGAAATCGCAGGGGGAGGCTAAGGGTTATGGGAAAGAGAAAGGCTGGCTCCTTGGCTGGAGGAGGAACAGGAAAGGGGGAGAGAAGCAGGGAAGGGAGTGGGAGGGACCAATGAGAACTTGAAGAGCTTCCTGAGTTGTGTTCAGCTAGACGTGGCTACACTCTCACTACAGATACTTGCTCTCTCGGGCAGTGGAACCCAGTACACCCAGCGGCCACCCCTACACCAATGTCCACTACTTCTGACTTGTCCTAGGGATTGATCCACTGACATGCAAACACCTGCTGAGTTCCTCACACTCGGATAATTGAGACTGCCTCTCCAGAGTGAGGATCTCATAAGAGTTCAGCCTTTTCCGTTAAGGGTCTAATGTCAGAGAGATTTTCAAAGTGAAACATCATGTTCCGCTATCAAACGCCTGTGCTCTGTGTCTTGGAGAATTGAAAGAAATGCTACAGCAAAGCCACTCACGGGACAGACTCCTGGAAAATGACAGTGTTGGTGTCTGCTCTTTGGTGATGCCTATGAATGGCCCAAGGCTGTGTGTGGTCCCTGATGGAGACCCCTGAGCTCTCACTGCAGAGGGAAGCCTATGCAAGTGAAGGTCTCCCAACCCTCAAGACACCGCTCTCATATTCTGCTTTGATGAAGCTGCAGTGGTCCTTAGGGAATACTGTCAACAGAAGCAGAGGCTTCTCTTATTGAACATCTGTAAGGGGGTGACAGTTACCACCAGTGCTTGTCTCAATTCCCTCACCAAGGAGCTGTCACGTCAGTGAGGCCGGAGGTCTCAGTCTGAGAGAGTTCCCTACTGCAACGAGGAAGAAGGCAAGTCAGCTGTACTAGAAAGGGTGGTGGCACGGGTTGTACAAAGGATCATCAGTGCCATAGATCTACCCACCAGCTGGCCCCCAGTCCTGATGTCTCAACACATAGGTCCAGGATGCTCAGAGGCTTTCCTTTCTAGTCCTACTTCCGCTTGCCAGGCAACGCAACAGAAACACAGTGAGCACTGGGGAAGAGAGCGCACAGGGTTGGCTGAATGAACAAATCAATAAATAACAGGAAGTCTGTAGGGAGAAGGGGAGAACAGACGGGAGTGAGGAGAAGAGGTACATGCATTTCGGTTGTGTTCCTAGGGGGTCGTCATAGTGACCCCAAGGACTCCAGGAAGGTGGCTGCTAGAGACTTGATCCAGTGTTCAGGACCCAGGGGAGGATGCTGGTTATCAGTGGTCCTGAACCCAACAGTCTGAGGAAAGAGAAGTGAGCACCCATCCCATGCCTGGCACACTCTGAGTGGTACAGAGTATCCTCAGAGAAGAGATTCTGAGCTAGGCAGCAAAGCAGGGTGCTGGTGGAGGTCCCCTTTTTCCCGTTGGGGATTTTGCTTCGTGTCAGCCAACGCATGCGTTTCTTCCTCAAGTTCAAAGGCACATGGAAGGAGTCAAACCTGCTCTGTCCATACAAATGTATCATTGTGGAGGACGATCACACAGGATGGCGAAGAGGGTTTCCCTCCTGTCAGTTACATGGCCAGCTTTCTGTGGAAGACCCCTGCAATCAGAAGCTCTTCCCAGCCATCATCAGTGAGCTTTGGGAAGAAAGGGACAACGGGGATGCCACATCAAGTGACAGGCCAGGCTTCATGCAAAGGAGAATAGAATCTTGCCCCAGTGCTGGTGTAGCCCACTGTGGCTCTGCTCCAGAGCTAACTGTCACAAACACCCCAGTCAGAGTCTGAGTTGAGCCTGAAGCCCACAGTTCAGTGGCAGCCTCCAAATGACTTCCAGGAAATGCCCACTTTTTTGAACATAGCAATCTTTGGGATTTATCCCCCTCCACCCCAGAAGTCAAAATAATGGTCATCATTCAGAGGTTAGCCCATTCCCAGTATCCCACTTTCTCCCAGTTAGGGAACCGCAGTGGGGAAGCGTTCCCACCTTAGAGAGGCCTGAGACTTCCTCTGTACTCTGGGAGAGTTGGACAGCTATGTCAAGTAGATGCTACCAAAATGAGGGTGCAAGAGGCTGCCAGTAAGCCTGGGAACACCCCAAGTGGAAACTTCTGGAACAGAATAGCTCCAGTGAGACGCTGGGGCTGCAAGTCGAGAGGTGAGATGTGGTATGTCCATCCTTAATGGGTCACGGCGTCATCTCCCCTTGAAGATGCGAATTTTGTTGTTGGCTTCCAGAATGGTGGTGACATTGTGCTCGAAGTCAGCATCATGCACCCCCGTCTTTCGGAATGCACCCGCAGATGGGTTGTTTTCCCAGTAATGGTGCCAGTTCCCTCTGCTGTCTGCCCCGAAGCCGTACAAGTCCACCTGTGGGACAAAGGCTAGGTGAGACCCAGAAGGCATGAGTCAGGGTAAGGGATTCAGGAAAGGCGGCCTGCGGATGGCCCTGGAATGTTAAGGTGAATGTTAATGGTTTGGAGGAACCTTCTTCAGAAAGCCAAGGCAAGCCAAGAAAGGCTCAAGTCCAACTCTTGCCAAGGGAACCTTGGGGTGACCTCAGGTAGGTGGTTCTGAGGGGCACCAGGCCTTCACTGGAGCTCCCAGGGCTCCTGGAGGGAATGTGGAGAGAGGGGCTCGGAAGGCAGTCAAACTGTTGTCCCTCATCTGAGCTGACTCTTAACACATTACATCATTTTAGAGTCTTTTTTTCTCATCTGGAAAGGAGGCCAGGAGGCATGAACACAGAAGGTAGGTGACAGGGTTCAAACCCTTCCTTCTGAGAGCGACATCTGAGGTTGGGGCCTACACACACACGACAAACGCAAGTGACAACTTATTCTGCACAATGTGACAAATCAAATGCAGGCAGGTGGACTTTCCTCAGATGTCACCTGGCAGGTCCTGGGGACCTCAGGGACAAACCCATTCAACCACAACCCTTACAACCTAGAGCAGTCATAGGCAGGATGTCACTTAGAGAGAGAAGGGTCAAAGTCAGGGCTCCCAGGATATTGGGGGAAGGCCATAAACCCAAGATAATAAGAGACTTTTTAAAGGAGGTGACATCCAGGTTTGGTTTTAGCTAGTGAGAAGATGGTGACCAGTAAGGAGACACTCAGAGGGGCCTTAAGGGAGAGGATACCATCTAGCTATGGGGTGGAGGACAGACTGGAGCTAGAGAGGGGTGTGCACAGCAGAGCAGGGAGCTGTGGGCAGAATGGGAGATAAGAGATGGGTGAGGTGCCTCTGAGGTTCCCATTCTGGTGCTCACAGTTGGTGGGGAGCAGAAGCCCCTTATGCCTGGTTAGCTTCCTAGAAATTCTGGTGACGTGAGTCAAGGAATGGCCCAAGTACTGAATGGAGTTCCCTGGTGGCTCCAACAAGCAACCTGAGGGTGGTAACTGTGGCCTTTGCAGCTCTCCCTGTCTAAGCTGGCTAGAACCTGCTTCTTCATTTTGATCTGAGTCAGAATCTAGCCTCCCCCGTTGGAATGTTCCAGAATTCTTGCTCTTGAGAACGGTATCATATTTCTGCCACTCTTCCACAAACCTGATGACACAGGTACCAGAGACCCTTGGAAAGATGTGATTGGGAACTGTCTTCTGCCCTCTCTCCTACCCTGGTTTCCCATGGCAACATGGAGGGGGTGGCCTTTGGCCCTGTCGCCTGCAGAAACATAGGTAGCATACCTCATCACAGACATGAATGGAGAAGATGACGGAGAGGATGCCAGTGGATGGGTACCGCCCATGCCTCTGAAGCCATGTGTCAAAGACATACTTGATGAAGGCTGGGTGGTAGATCAGGATCTGCAGGGAGAAGGGACCGGGTGAGTACAGCCAGCAAAAGACACAGAGCATCTACTAAATGCTATACTGTTGTGACCAGAACGTGGTCATGCAGATCTCTGACAAACACCCTTGTATTTATGGACTTGGAACCTGCATTTTTACAGGGTAGGGCCGGAGAGTAATGTAGGCTACAGGCAAGAATAAGCACAGAACAGTTTTATAGCACTGGGGAGAAGCCTTCAAGGGGAGAATGGTGCCGAAATAAAAATCCCCTGGGGGCAGGGAGTGTGACCCAAGGCTCCAGAAGCGCCCCATGAAGCAGTGTGAAGGATCATGACAGTGACACACCGCATCAAAAACATACCCATGAGCCACCAGTTCTGCCTGGCATTGGATGGGATCGCCGACCTAAGGTAAACTACATGCAGGGATTTCCTCTCCTGTTATGATAACATCAAGGCTCAGAGAGGCCAAGCAACATGTTCAGTGTTACACAGCCATGAAGGTTTCCCTGTGCCAGGCTCGGCCTTGGTCTCATCCCCTGTGATTGCCTTGGAGACACTGAAGGGGACTCTGGGAGCAGCAAAGCCTTAAACCATTCCTTAGGGAAGGGTTGAAGGAATGGGCTCACAGGTCTCCGGAAGGCTCTTCACTTCTCAGCTTTGCTTCAGGACTTTGGGGTCTGAGAGAGAAACCCACCCTACAGAGATGTCCATGGCTTCTGTCCGGGATTGTGCTGCCCAAGGCCAAGGGCAGCTTGTTGCAAGGCATATGGAGGACTTCATCTAGTTGCAGCATGACCTAGGCTGTGTCCCTGGGCATAGTGCTGGCCTCTCTGAGCTTCCTGAAGTATGACGGTGCATGTAAAGAACCAGTGTGATGGGGCTTTTCACACATGTTCCTGCTTTTGTCCATGTCTGGGACAATGCAGTATAGGGGCCCACTGGGGAGGATGGAGGTGTGGAGACAAAGAGGTGAGCCTGGCTTTGGGAGGCTCCTCACAGGAATGGGTAAAAAAAAAAAAAAACCCTGCAGCCGACACTTGCCCACCCTCCAGGGGCTTGCGAGAGCTGGATAGTGGGTGTGACCCGGGCTGGCTGTAGTTAAGTTTGGGTATTCCTGAAGAATCACACCCTGTGCCAAGTTCCCAGGTGGTGTTGCTGGTCTGGAGAGCCAATGTGTGAGGACCTGCCCTTAGCAGAAGCTCCACAGGTGCCGGGAACTGCACCAGGTCAGGGCCAGGGCACTCTGTGTAGCTCAGTGCCACCATCACAGCGCCAAATCGTGGAAAAGGAGTCGGCAAAGCTAAAGGGTCCTAAGCTTCCGCTTACCTTCTCTTGTTTCACTTTGATCTTCGGGGGCACGGGGACGTAGGTGCTGTGAATCGGGAAAGAGAAGGGATTTAAAGTGGAGAGGGACCACCTGTGCGTCAGAAGCTCTGGGGAGTGATATAGCCATGGGGAGGGGAGGGAGGCTTAGGTTCTCAGAAACCACCTGCCTGATTGAGCATCGCTCCTGCAGTAGCTCCACAGTGACACCAGGGGGCAACCTTGGCTAATTTGGGCCAGAAAGGGGGCCTGGCTCCAAACAGCCTTTCAGGGACCTAGAGATATATATATAATATATATTTTTTTTCATCTTCCAGAGTCAGAAGATCTGTGTCTATTATGGGAGCCCAGGCTGATGCTGGGGAACTGGCAGGGGTGACCTATGGCTGTCTCCAGCTCACGCGAGAAGACATGAGCTACAGCGTCAAGGTGTAAAATCCGCTACCACGTGGAACATAACTGACGCACTGCAGGCTCTCCATGTGCCTGGGTACCAGGGGAGCATCTTGAGCCAGCAGCTTGGCCCAACCTCTTGCTGAGCCCTTCCCTCACACTCCGTCCCTTGGAGGCATGGAGTTCCTGGAACCCGCAGTTCTTGGCTCTAGCTCTGCTCCTAAGAGACCTGGGCTAGGACCAGGAGTTATGCGGACATCTGGAAAATGAAAGCCACGCCCCTTCGAGAAAAGGCAGGGACTCAGGAATTAGACCCAGATGGTTGCATGGGCTCTGGGTCAAGTTCAGTGTTGGGCAAGTGGTTTGGCCCAGTCACGGTTGCTCCCTGGAGGCCAGAGCTAATGAGAAGCATTGCTGGGAGGACCAAACGAGACGCCAAGTTTCAAATGATAGGCACCTCGCCTGGGGAGCAGATGGCAGCACTTACTCTCGGAGAGCCAATGTTGACTTAGCCACAGCCTGTGTGTTCAGCAGCCCTGAGCGCTCTGTGCTGCAGTCTAATAGCAAAGGGCTCTCAGAACTGAGGGTGAATATGAAGCTATCACAACGAGGGGTTCTCAGAACTGAGGGTGGACATGGAGCTATCACCACGAGGGGCTTTCAGCACTGAGGATGGACCATAATAGGCTCTTGGAACTGAGGGTGAACAAGTCAGGTAGGATCAACCAAGGAGATAGCAGCAGCCACATATGTACTAGGAGGCATGGGGGAGACGAATCCTAAGGGACATCCAGCCAGAATGAGCCATGGTAGGAGACAGATGGGCATAGGGCAGTCACTAGAGAAACTCACTGAGTAATGGTGCCCGTGGTGGTGGCGCTGATCACCCACTGCAGGTCGGTGATCTTGAAGGGGACCAGGACCATGCTGACATTCTCTCCCAGCTCCCGGAAGCTCTCAGGATACACAAGATGGTGGGTGGTCCTGCTCCCAACATCTGCCTCAAAGCCCGCCGTGGGTGCCTTGTTCATCCTGGGAGGAGAGGAAAGCGATGCATGAGGTAAGGATTCTGGAGGTGGAGTCACCTGTGTGGTACCCACAGGTGAGCTTCTTTGTTCCCTAGGCCTCAGTTTCCCCATGTGAGCAATGGGAACATGGTAGACATAGGCCAGAGAAGCTTGGTAGAGCAGGTCGGAAATCCCAGTTACTTGGGAGGCAGAGCCAGAAGTATGGCAAGTTCAACGTCAGTGTGAACAACTCAGTTTGGAGGTAAGGGGCAAGTACCTCAGTTAGGGGAAGATAGCTTGCCTAGCATGCGTGAGGCCAAGTTCCAGACCTTGTTCATCAAGACAGAGGCCGAGGGCTTTTTTTGTTTTGTTTTGTTTTTTATAAAAAGCAAGTAGGGTGGATCTTGCCCTGTGTCGCACCTACTAAAAGCACCTATTCAATGATTCAGAGCCCAGACAAGCTGTCTACCAAGCTACAGCTTTGAACTCAGGTTTGCCTGACTCTGAACCTGACTTTGCCTCTCATGGTAGGCATTCCCACTATGATACTAGGTACACTGAAAGCCAGGAAACGGGCCTATGGACATGAAGTCAAGGATGCAGAAATAAGGTCGTCCTAGATTCTAGATCCACCAACCAATCATCCATCCATCCATCCATCCATCCATCCACCCACCCACCCACCATCTACGTATGTTTGTGTGTGTGTGTATCTATCTATCTATCTATCTATCTATCTATCTATCTATCTATCTATCTATCTATCTCGCTATCTATCTATCTACACATATATCTGGGGGATACTGAGTCCCACCTTTAATTATGCTCTGTGTCCCAGAACACTTCTGAATAGGGATAATGAAAAACCCAAAGGAGACATGGTGATTTTTCCTGAGATGCCACTTCCAATGGGATACAGAGGAAGTAAAGCTGACATTAAAAGCTTCCGGGTCACGGTCTAGATTGAAAGTTAGGGATGAATTTGGGCCACAGAAGCACAGGCTTCAGATCAGTTTTGCACACTCAATAGGCCTTAGGTACTAAGTCACCATCCCCTTTAACATCTCTAGTCAAGGTTTCCTTATTGCATGTCACCTTGCTAGGGAAAGATGGGGGGAACTGAGACCCAGAGGTCATCAATACTGGGGCCCAGGCCTGGAGTCTTGTCCTCTGAGGTTCCCAGGGCTTGGATTAAGGGTCCATCCAGTACTCACCTCACCACGAAGTCGTGACTGTCAATCTCAGGCCCATAGGAGGAGCCCTTCAGGTTCCCAGAGTTTCCCACGACTGCACAGCGCCGGCAACCCACCAGCCTCTTGCCCAGCACAGGGTCCACATTCCCGGGTACCACGCGGAACAGTTCCTTGACCGTGTCACTTAGGTTGTTAGGTTTCCTCTCCCTCTGGAGCCTCTGGGGCGGAGAACAGAGAGGATGGTTAGTTTGGCTTCATTGCCTCTGGCAGGCTGGCTTCCTGTCCACTGAACCCAGATACTAACTGTGAAGGCACAGGTGGTTAGTGACAGTCACACACATTCCAAGACAGGAGACAGGAAGAAAGCTCATGCATCCACACTACAGGGACTCTCTGGATACCTGCTGTGTGTGAGACTAGGATTTTAGCTGACCTTTGGGTACAAGGGAAGGGGTAAGGACCAATCCCCAGACACCGAGGACCACAATATTTACTGCATTTCTCATTCCTATCACCTGCTAAGATCTAGTTTTGCTACTGGTGGCAGAAAAGACCAGCCTGGATTCAGGGTGCACCCTAGAGCCAAGGCCACAAGTCCTTCCCAGGAGAGGATACCAGAGACACACGAAAACCATGGAATAGGGGAGCAGAGACCAGGAGCTGCAGATGTGGGCCACGAACAGTCAGTAGCAGCAGCAGGAGAAAGGCATGGGGGTAAAGAACCTTGGCCCCCAGGACTGTGACCCATGGTCACTCACTTCTGATGCCTTAGCCCACCAGATCCATGGGGACTGGTTATGGGAACCACAGGCGGGGGAAGCAGTGGGGTTTTTCTCTGACTTACACATGATAGATGCTCAATAAACAATTGCGGAGTGAAGGGATGACTGCAAATGACATTCTAAATGCTGTCAGATGCTTGGTGGGTCCTCAGGTCTCCCAGACCTAGCCTTTGCCTCCCCTCCCTCTGCTCCCAGGCCGACTCTGCTCACCAACCACCACTGGTACGTGTCCTCTTCCATCACAGCATTGTGAATTGTCAGCAGCGGCTGCATGGTCTTGTTGAAGCGCTGGTCGAACCAGGGCGAGACCTTGCCTTCGCTGATGCAGTGTGTGCAGGTGCACGGCTGGGACTTGATGAGCTTGCGTAAGTTGTCAGAGAAGCCCAGGACCATGTACTTGGAGAACCAGGCAGCGGTCATTCCCGTGCTCGAGTAGTTCAAGACGAAGGACGTGAGGAAGAGGAGAAGCAGGAGGAAGGTGAGCCACTTGAGGCTCCTCTTTCTCATGCTCACCATCTCCACACTTTACTGGGTCCTCAGTGTTGATGGGGGTGGTGGTGACAGAAAGGAGAGAGGCCCTGTGTGGAGACGGGCAGATTCCAGAGACGCAGGAGCAGGTAGTAGGAAGGGGAGACCTCTGAGGCAGCTAGGGTGAACTTTGGTCTGCTGGAGACATGTCTAGGTCTAGGCTTGGGCTATCTCGGTGTGGCACGTGATGGCAGACCAGGAGATGCAGTCGGTGACTGTGTTGTCTTCCTTTGGGTAAACAGCGTGGTCGGCCTCTTTTGCAGCCCCAGCAAAGTTGACAATGTGGCTTGATGATGTTGATGAAGGCTGGGAAGAGCAATGCTCTCCTCCACGCAAAAGGGATCAAGGTGTAAGCCTCAGCCCGAGTGAACCCCTGAAGGACCTGTAAGAAAGTCTTGGTACAGGATGTGGGGCCGGCTGCTTGGCCGCCCTCCTCCAGAAAGTGTGGCTTGAGACAATCGTTAATTAGAGCGCTGTGTTTCCCAGGCTGTCATCAGGGATGGGAACTTAAAGGACATCTCCAAGAAGGTACCGAGGTTGGTGAGTATCTGTGTGGAAAAGGAGGAAGGAAAGAAGACGAAACTCGGTAACCTTGATTTGGACACTGTTTCTCTCTTCACACTTTTCCACAAGCCTCAGGGGCTTCCTGTAGGCTTGGACAGCACCTGTTTTTCCTGCCTCAAGCCTGAACTCTGCCTTCCCATCCACCAGAGTGTGCCAGCACTCCCGCCGCCAAAGATGGAGTCGCTCTGGCTTTGCCCGCTACGATGAACCAATGGAGCATGAAATCATGAGCCACAGAAAATCCAACCCCCCTCAAGTTGTTCCTGGCAGGTGTTCTGTCAGCCAGAAAGAACAAGAAAACAACAACAAACACAAAAACACCGAATACAATGGCAGCTCAGTTTTTAGGTCTCTCAATGACAGTCTTCTGCTTCTTAAACTCTGAACCCAAGCAACTTATATATGAGCAAGTGCCTCCAACGGGGGACCATGGTTCAGAACCCAAGTCCCTTCCCTGGAGATTTGCTTTGCAATGGGCATATCCTCTCAGTACTTGATTTAGACCGAGGAACTTAAATCCATCTCTCCATCCCTTCCATTATGGCTCTGTTTGGTCCCTTGCTGGCCTTGACTCCACCACCTGGGAGTCAGCACCCACTGCATGCAGGAGGTGGGCAGCTTCATCGCTTTATCTCCCATTACCACGCTACTTGATCTCTCATCTCTCTGGAATCCACACCCTTTAAGCTTTGGCTATTTCTACCTGGAGTTCTCTGCTTGGCAGCCACTCTGCTTCTTGCCAGGAGAAAGGGTCAGACAGAGGGGCCCCAATGAACTCCGACGTATCTCCCTTTTTTGTAGACCTGAACAGGAGTCTGGGTCAAAAGGGGTAAAGTAACAACTGGGACCTCAACAGCTCCTGGGCTGCCCAGAAGGACCCAGGAGTATCTCTTTTATTATCTTTGTGTCAGAAATTCTTTTTTCAATCACCTTGACTCGTGGCCACTGACTGTTGGCAAAATCTTGTCTTTTGTCACTGAAAAGCAGACCTTCTTCAGGCCTTTGCGTTCTGACTCGCTGGATTCATGTGGACAGACCCAGAAAGCAGAGAGTAAGACCGGGGCCAGTGGAAGGCCTCCAACATGCTAGAGAGAAGCAAGAGCCCTCCCTAAACTGCTTGCAGCTCCATCCTGGTCGGTGGATACTTGGCACCACCTATTCTTATCATGGAAGGTTTTGAGTGAAGCCTGCCAACAGCACCAGAGTAAAAACAGTCGTAGAGACCACACCACAGTTCCTGTGCACTGTGGGCTGGGCCCTTCACCTCTCTAATCCTTGCTTCCTGGATCCAGAAAATAGAAGTGTTCCTCCAGGCCTGTGTGGAAAGACTGACGGGCACAAGGAGGACCAGCTCAGGGCACCCGGTGCATGCACTACGTAAGTCATGGCTGCTTCTCTTCCTTGAATCCCAGATGCTTTCTGTGTAAAATGTAACCCAACAAGATGCTTGGACTGTCTCAAGGGCAAGGGTACTTAAAGGACCAAATGACACCAGGCATCAAAGAATACAAGCCAGGGTAACCCCTGCCTCTGGTACCTCTGTTCCTCCAGGTGGTGGCAGCTGGCTCTTCAGTGCATTCTGGGAACCCAGGAGAAACGGGTCCGAACATATGGTGTGTGAGACACAGCAAACACTCAACCTTCGAGAGTGGTCATGTGGGCTTTGAGGCTGATCCAGGGATCTTATAGCTAGTTTTGAGACCCCAGGGCAGTGGCTCTCATGGGTGGGTTACGATCCCTTGACAAACCTCTATCTCCAAAACTACTTACATTATGATTCATCACAGAGCAAAACTGTAGTTTTTAAGTAGTAACAAAAATAAATTTATGGTTGGGGGGGTCACCACAACACGAGGAACTGTATTAAGGGGTCACAGTGTTAGGAAGGTTGAGAACTACTGCCCTGTGGGCTCCCTCACAGTGGCTTTGCTCCCACTTTCCACCCGCCTTCCCCTTTAGAGTCTCTCCCTTCACGTTTGGGAGTACAGATACACAGCCCTTTAGAGCATGTGAGGCTGACAGCTCCCTGGAGATGCCATCACCCTGAGAGCTCCGGGCAGCAGTGTTGGATGGGGCCAACACTGTTCTTTCTGCTTTGCAATTCAGGGTTCCAGCTGTCACCTGTTAGAGCTCTGAGCAGCCCTGTGCACTGGACTCTAACTGGAGCATAGTCTTTGTGGTCAGCTAGGCCTGGTGGGAATGTTGAGTCTATCTTTCCTTGCTGAGAGAACCTGGGTAAGTCAGTCTACCTCTCTGAACCCAGGTCTGTTCCTTAAGACACAGTGATCACATTTTTTAAAAGCGTGTGTGTGTGTGTGTGTGTGTGTGTGTTTTAAGGACCTATAGAAATTAAGAGCAGAGCTTCCTGGCACCTAATGTGCACTAAAACAAGTTATCTCCACCAATGCACCGACAATGGCATTGAGACTCAGTGGGAAAGCCTCTGACGGAGCTCACACAAACTTGAACCTGGGTCCTCATTATCAGTTTCTCAGATCAGGGAATGAAAAGTCTAGACACTGCTCCCCCTCCCTTTCCTGTGTCTGACACATCTGCTCTGTGCCAAGCAAGAAGTTCCAGGAAGAAGATGCTGGCCCTGGAAAGACTGTCTCCCGATCAAGTTCTGGTGTTGCTGTGTTCTCATGCAGGGGTGTGTCTCACTTCTGCTTTAATCCCTCATTTGGAGAACCCACGGCCCAGTGAGTCACAGCTGGAGAGAAATGCGGCCTGCCCCAGCTCCTGTGACACCCAGAGCCTGCAGCTGAGGACCACTCAAGGCTGCTTGCTGCTGATGCTAGGTGACTAGCTCCCCCCGCCCCGAAGAGATGCCCAGCTACTACTTCCTGGGGAACTTGGCAGACCGGAGATGTTCAGAAATCTTTCAGGACAATTCTAGGATTCTGTAGTGAAAGTCAAAGTATGGGATGGCCAGGGCCTAGGGAGGTATCTGCTTCCAAATGGCTGTGTCCTCCTCAAACTTGTCACGACTATGCACCAATCCTGCTTAGAGATGCTTTTTGCTGACCTGGACCCCGGTTTGGGTTACTCTCTACCATGGTGAAGACTACCTGGCCTTCTCCATATTCACTCCTATTTCCAGTGATGGAGGGCCTGGGCCTGAACAACTCTCATTTTGAGCTCTTCTTGCCCAGAGAGCTCTGTAGGCAGTCAGCCAATGATGTCTGGGCATACAGAAGAGAGAGAAAGGCCCTTTTCCTGTCCCACCTTAGTGGTGTAGGCTGCAGGTGGCTTTGCACTGGACTGCAGGACCCTCCTTACCTCAAGTCTGAAGGTAGATTTGTGTTCTCTAGTGGTCTCCTGAAGCTTCCTGGTCACAGCCAAATACCTGAGGTCTCCGGTTCCCTCAACTTTGCAAAGGACTGGTCTGTGAGGAACACTCATTTTCCTTATATGCTCTCAGATCGGATCCTCAGTGTTTGCCTTGCAGTCAGACCCCTAGGACATCTCCAATCAAACCTGGTTGCCGATTTATTCCTATTCCAGCAGCCCATCTGACTGCACATTTTACCTCTCCTTGGTCTGTCTATCCCAGAAGATCTACTGGCAAACAGCGTTTGTGTATATTATGCCTGGGGTGATGAATAATTTCCACTATCAAGTAGACCAGATTTAGAATTGATATGGAAGTAAAATAAATCTTACAAAGGCAGAAGGAGGTGGCTGGAGAGATGGTTCAGAGGTTAAAAGCACTTGCTGCTCTTGCAGAAGATCAGGGTTGGATCCTGGAATCCATATTGGGCAGCACAAACCTTCCTGTATGTAACCCCAGTTCTGAGGGATCTGATGTAGATTTCTGACCTCTATAGGAACCTGCGCGCGCACACACACACACACACACCCCACTAAATAAATAAATCAAAGATGAAAATAAATCTTTTTGGGGGATTACTAGCCAGTTGGTTGTGATGCATGCTTTTAATCCCAGCACTTGGGAAGCATATGCAGGTGGTGTGAGTTCAAGGCCAGCCTGGTCTGCAAAGCAAGTTCCAGGACTGTTGCACAGAGAAACCTTGCCTCAAACAAACAAACAACAAAAAAAGGATTACTATGAAAGACTTTCTCTAGAATGGCTTACCTGAGCTGGGAAGACCTACACTGAATATAGGCAACAACATATTGGACCGACTGAGAAGAAAGCTAGGTGAGCGAGCGCTAGCATCCATTCTTCTGTTTCCTGACTGGGGAACAATGCGCTCACCCACTCACTATCCATCCGTGGTACCAACCCTGCCAAGATGATCTGCACCCTCCAGTTCCGAGCCAAAACAAACCCTTTACGGATGGCTTGAATAAAAATAGTTCGTGTATTTGAATACTTGGTTTGCTGTCAGTGCCACTGTTGGGAGAGATTATGAACTCTTCAGCAGGCGGAAGCTTGCTGGAGGAAGGGCGTCAGCCGGAAGACTGAGAGAGTTTATTCTTTCTCTCTCTCTCTCTCTCCTGGTCACTCTCTGCTCTCTGCATGCAGATAAAGCTGTGAGCCCTCAGAATTCTGACCTGGTCATCTGCTGCCATGCCATTATGGACTCTCCTGACACTCACCAGAACCATAAATCAAATAAACTCTTTTTTTCTGTAAGTCACTTTTGGTTGTGATTGATGCTTTAACACGTCAACACAAAGTAACTCATACAGAAATTTGTAACAGGAGTGGGGTTCTACCATTAGAAGGCAGCCCCAAGAGGCAGGGAAGCCCTGGGAGGCCATTGTTTATTATTTGCTTTTCCATTTTCGGGGGGTGACAGTTAAGAGATTGTCTTGAGGCTTAGAAGACACTTTGAACCACAAACAGGGTCAAAACAGTTTAAAGACGGGGGGAGGGGTGCTTTTAAAGTTATACTAAATGCATTTTGCATTATGATATGGTCACGAGGCTGTGAGAGTCAGGGGGTGGAATGTGATGGTTTGAATGAAAAATGTCCCTCACAGGCTTACATATTTCAACACCTGGTCCCTGGTTGAT